GAATTATTTTGGTTGCCCTATTTCCTGCTATTCTCTTATTCGAATCACATGTTGAATGAAATGTTGATTTGGGACTTGATTTTTGAGCTTTCTATTATTGTTACCCATGTTCATATATATGCTGGGACTGGTTTCAACGCTTTGAGATGTCGGCTTTGGGGCTTAATTGCATTTTTCAGTTTCATGTGGCTGCCCCCTCTGTTAGAAACATATGAAGGTGATTTTATTTAATTTTGGAACTTTGAAAGTTTTGCTTTGGGGCCTTGTTTTGTTGTTTCTTTGTTGCGTTCTATGTTCGAAATGCACGAGCAATTGAAATTTGGTTTCTAAGATTTTTTTGTAGTTGGTTTGAGTCTTGGTTTTTGCTCCTTACTACTGCTGTCGCTACTGTTGCCCTTGTTCAAATGCATGTTGGAATCTGTTTAGCTTTTAAGTATTTGGCTTCAGATGCTTGGTTTTATTTCTCGATATTTCTCTTGTTCGAAATACATGTTGGAGTTTATTATCATTTCTTTGAGGAGCCTGTTTTAGTGGCTTGGTTTCGTCCCTTATGGTTGTTATCCCTGTCTGGATTGGAGTTGGCAGTATCCCTGTCTGTCCCTGGCCGTGAGCCCTCTCCTGTGGCTCTTTTGAGTTGAATGTGGGCTGGCGGTTTCCCCTTTGTTGTCCCTAGCCGTGGGCCATCTCCTGTGGCTTCTTTGTGTTGAATGTGGGCCGGTGGTTTCTCCTTTGCTGTCCCTGACCGTGAGCCATCTCCTGTGGCTCCTTTGTGTTGCATGTGGGTTGGTGGCTTCCCCTTTGATGTTCTTGGCCGTATGTCTGTGGCTCCTTTGTGTAGAGTGTTGGTTGGTGGCTCCTTCTGCTGCTCCTACTCGAGAGCATCTATTTGGGTTCCTCTATGCTGTGTTGAGTCCATGTCTCTATGGAACTTTTGGTTTGAATTGGAATTGAATGTTTCAATATTTGTGAGGTGGAATATTTCAATTCTTATGTTTGAAAGAGTTCAAATGCTCTCTTCCGAGGAACGATCTGATAGATGTTTGGAAATGTTTCGGGGCCCAATTCTGCGGGCTAGACCAATTGCAATATTAAAAAAAAAAAAGAGGAAGAAAAGATATAGAAAAGATGAAGAATTTTCTGATATTTGGAATGACTGAGAATTTTCTAAGTTGTATCTTTTGGAGATGTTTCACGGCTAGCATGGGGAGTGTATTTCACCTCTTTTACTCATTCGAGACGTTAGTCGGATGTTTTAGGCTAACCCTTTTGCCGCTTTGGCTTTTCTTTTCTAAATTTGTTTTGGAGGTGGGTTAGTTTTTTTTCTTTTTAATTTCTTGCTTTTTGGTTTGCTTTCGTTTTGGTTTACTTTCGTTGCTTCTTGGTTTAGGCTTTTGGTGCTTATGTTCGATACATAAGTGAACATATATAGCCTTTTGTTATATATGAACCATCAAACACAGTCGTAAATAGGTCGGTTTTGTTTTGGGGCTTAGGGCGGTGATGACAAAGACACACCGGTGGTAGAACGAAATGATATTCTATACTACGACATCATGACTCAATCCGAGGACCTGGTGAACTGTAGGATGATAGTATCATTCACCGACACAAGACTAGCGGGGGATCGATACCTTCTTAGGTTGTTGGCGGTCGCCCGACGGCGTGATCGACTCATGAACAATCATAATTTTGAAAACTGATTAGAATCGACATGATAAGAACATATACAATATTTATAAATATATTTACTACAAAATTGATACAACTTCCTTTTGAATGCCTGAAATTCATGTGCATGCTAAAATATAAATTTTAACTCTATTGTAACTTGGTTGTCCACTTGTCGATTATCGGTACCAGGCGAAGGAACACTCTCCTAAGTTTGGTTTAGTAGGACACCTTTCTAGTTGTGTGACAGACTCTATACATCCGGGTGACCGATAGTAGCCTTTGATGTCTCTCGAGTATAAATATATAGTATATGAGCCTAGCCTCGACCTGAGTGCTTGCAGTTTTCTCTCTTCGGATTTTTCGTGTGATTTTCTTGAAACTTTTGGTAAAGCACTCGTGGTCTCTTTCCGGGATCTTATCGTGTTTTCAGTGACTTTCTTTGAGTTGTCATTTGCTGTTTTTTTTGCTTTGAGATTTCCGTCGTGAGTCATTTGTTGATTTTCTCGAGTTTTGTTCGTCGTGGGTCATTTGCCACTCTTTCTTGAGTTTTCCAGGTGATATTTCATTTGTTGATACAATGCATGTTAGCTTATTTCTTAAATTATGTCACTATACTTGTACCTTCTGCATCAACCATATTTAAAGGAGCAGCAAACCTCTCAGGTTTATAGGTTTGATTTACATTACAACATTTTACTTTACAACACACTGTATTGTTCTTTTCTATTGAACATTCAACTATTTTCCTATACAACATGCTTTACTGCTCCTATATATATTGTACTGTCATTGCTTTCCTTTGCTATACCTGCTACTGTTTTTTTACACATTATATATTAGAGTAGGAGGTTAGTAGTTGATTTTATAAGAGGTACCCAACAGCAGATCGTTGACTCAACGATTGCATGTACTCTTTAAATTAGCATCAAATCCGAAGGTGCTACAACGGGGAGCTTGGAGCGAACACCGTAGGCAGCACGACGAGGACACGCAGAAGAGCAACTTCGAGATGGATCTGCAACATCAAAACAAGTTCACGTCAGCTAAACATTTTCTTTAGTTTAAATAACAAGTCATAGGACTTCGAGGTAGTTTGTTTAGCGCAATGTAAATCCTCAACTTATCTTTAAGACTTTTGCACAACCATGTTGTGTAATTATAAGTCCTAACATTTTTTAGGATTCTGAGGTTACCGCGCGGTACAGTGTAAATCCTCCATATCTTTCTAGGTCATTTGCACGATCAGATATCGTGCGAATGTAAGTTCTAAATTCTGAAAGAAATTGCAGGATTAAACATTGAATAATATTATTTCAAAGACATAAAACCAAACAATAGGATAGTTGGGAAGCCACAAGAGTTTCCCCTAGGTCAGTGATATCCTCTACTCTTCATTCCTTTGGATTCCTTAAAATAATTGTTCTTATTTGAGTCACTCCCATTCGATTTTCCCTTGTCCAATCTTGGAAACCTGAACTTTGAAATCTTGAAGGCAAAACTACTGATCTTAATCGAGGGGTAAGTGACCCCGATCATTTAAGATGTAATTAACTATAGGGGTTTTTCTTTATAGGGAACTTGGAACTTAGGTAAAATAAACCTTATCTAATCATTATATTAGGTAGGGAAATTTGTCGGTCATACATAAAAGGTTTTGCAGACCAAACAGATGTCACAAAATCTTTAGTTTATGTGGTTGAGCCTACTGCAAGTGGTATGCTTATCTTTCGGGATAATGTATTAATTGTGATATCGCACTCAGCCATCCAAATTATTCAATATGTGAGAATCGTTTGATCTCATCTATTTTTAAATTAAAATATTACTTTCAAAAATCATATTTACACAAAACTATTCTCATATTTACAAAAATCAGCCTTTTTCCAAAAATAACGGCTGACACGGAGGATGACCCCTGCAGGCTGAAAAGGGCTAGGGTTTTTTTTCTCGCTTTAAACCATGATGAAAGGTGGAGAAATTGTATTATCTTATTTCTTAATGATCCAATTACAACTCTTCTACTTATATAATAAATAAAGGTTAGGACAAACTTAATTCCTACCATTACAACTTATCAAAACAACAAAAAACAGAAGAAGTAAACTTAGAATTAGATAATAAAACCGCATTTAGTATTTAAACAAAAATGGACGAGAAATGATTCATTAGGCCAACCAAAAATAGTTGGAGTAAGATTGTGGTTGATGATGATTGATGAAAATGGCATCTTTGCAAATTTTGAAAATTTTTTGATGAGTAATAATGTGTCAAAAATAAAATTTGAAACATTATGATATGAGCCTCTTGATCCATTTAATTTTGAATTATTTAGTAATGAGAGGTTCATAACTATACTACAAATTGAATCTTCTTTTTTAGTCTTGACTATTGACCTACTATTTTTTTATATCATTTATTGGGTATGATGGAAGTTAGGTCGTTAAACTCAACCCTGAAAAAGTTTTAATGGATAGGCCGTAACATCTTATAAATCTTAAAATTTCTTGTCCAATAAATTACATATTCTTAAACTATGAAATAATTATATAAATATAACTAATTTTGTGCTCTGGCTTGAATCAAGTTTTTTAAGTGATCGTAAGCTAAAATGTAATTTTAAATAAATTTTAATCTCAATTAAATCTCAATTATTTCGATACTTTATATATATATATATGGCTACTGTTTGCTAGACTTGTTATGCATATCCACAGTTTGTGACTTTTTTGTTCTATTTTAGCAGTGAATTGTTTATAGCATCTATTAATTTTGTTTATGCTTGTTCCCTTTAATTGTTTTTGCTTTGAAAATTCTAGGAAGTTCATGGCATGATGAAGTGATAGTGGAAAATTCCAATTTCTATGTATGGCCAGAACTCTGAACCCGCAAAGATTATCATTAATTTGGGCTAGCACAAGCCCAAAATGGGTTTTAGAGGGCCTAGATAAACGAGCTTAAATTGGCTTGAACAACCTAATTAACTCCCCTAAAATAATCATAATTCCTCTAGTCGCTGTTTACTCGACTTGTTTTGTATATACTACAAATAACTATTTTGTCCTATTAGCAGTGTCTAATCCTTACCGCTTGCTAATTCCGTTATACTTGTTCCCTTTAATTGCTTTTACTTTGAAGTGATGGTGGCAAACGCTTATGTCTGATTCACGTAAGGTCCAATCTAGCAATATTTCTGCTGAGTGATTTATTGAGAATTTCTATACTTCTTGTTTTTTTCCATTTTATTTGGAAGCGTGTTCTCTTTTACTTGCTTTCAGCATCAATATTTTATGTCACCCCTCCCTTATTTAAATTTTCTTGTCTTGAAACAGTTAGGTATTCAATCAAAGGTAGACAATGCTACTCCTCGGGAAGCAATGGATGAATTAGTTGTACGATTAACTGGTTTCTTTAAAGATGAGGTTAGTATTGTAACATGCTACAAATGGTGGCTACTAGTAAATATTCTAAAAGTTTTGTAGTGTTATATATAAGAAAAGGATCCTGTTAACTTCCTGTCGTTAATTTTCCTTCTTTGGAAAATATTAATTTTACAACAGATATAATTTTCTTTCCTTTAAGTTGGGCCATTCTCATGGATGATAGAATTTTGTAAGCATTACAATTCTATCAAATTACTACGTTGTTTTTTCTAATTTGGTGGGACTTACTGCTATGTTAACTATCATACTCTAGGATATCTGTCAAGTTATGATTAAATAATATTCTTAATTATAACAATTGGTTTATATTTGATGAAACATTTTATCTAAATTGTGTGCTTTACATATTAGTATATGATGATAAAGCTAATTGTCTAACACAAATATTACACATTTTGTTTCGTTTTGTTTAATTGCTGTGAAACTTCTGACATGTTCTGTTGGTTTTACTTTGGATGAAGTTCCTTTCTTCTTCTCATCCCCTGGTTGGTCACATCAAAGTTGCTCTTAGAAGAGTCGGTGAGCATTTTGGTATGATACCAATCTCTGCGATTGCTGCATGTGACACAAAAGTTAATAATCTGTGCAAAATTATCAATCCAAAGGCTGAATCAGATCCTCTCTTGGTTTTGTCATTGATCTTGAGGGCTTGCAAAATGTCTACATCTATCACTTGTGGTGAACTTTGGATATGGAAGCAAGGGTCTTATCCTGCCCATTTTCTTGGGCCAGATAAGAATCTTATTTCAGTATCAGCACAAAACACTTATGTAGAAGCCCTTCTTATTCCTTCCTTGCTTGATAGAGATGTTGAAACCTTGGCTCTAAATTTTTCGAATTGCCCATATTACATGGATGAAATTGCACAAAAACTTCATGTCAGCGATCCATCTCGTATCGTAGCGTCACGGTAGGATATAAATAATTCTATTTTGTTTTATTCTACTTTTTTGTTGTTATTTGTTGATTCGTGTATATGATATTTTTTTGGTTATAGCACTTTTGGAAAGGCTTCTTCAGAAATGAGATTATATTTCTCTGCTCCAGATGCCCTCTCTTTTACTTCAGATTCTTCGATGGAAGTATTCCCAATGATCGAAGGAAATGTTAATTTGGGCAATATCATAAATGAACGAGCTTCCTACTTATCAGGGCAACAGATTTATGGAAATGCAATTATGGCTAACGTTGGATATATATGGAAGTCCTCTGATCTTTTTTATGAAGACGTTACATTGAATACCTATTACAGGTACGCCCTCCTTTTAAAAAAAATATTGTTGTGCCAATCCTTAATAAATTGTTCATGAAAATAAAAAACCCTCTTCGTTTCTTTTTTATATGCCGGAGAGTTCGTTTCTTCAGTTATATTTGCCCTTGTGCTAACCTTGGAAATCATTATTATAGTTATGAAAAAAGTAAGGGCTTGTTTGAGATTTTTTTATTTATTTTAAAAACAAGTTATACTTGCCCTTTTGGCATGTTTTTTTATTTTGTTTTTAAAAACAGATTAGTTTGTTTTTAAAAATATTCAAAGCATCAAAAAGTTATTTTTGCGTATTTTAAAAAATAACTAAACATGCTATAACATATCAAACATATTTTTTTTCAGTTAAAATATAAATAAAATAATTTTGAAGTTAAAATTAAAAAACAATTATTAAAAGTTATCCCAGACGGCTCTTAAATTTTTTTAGTTGTGATGCTCTCAAGGAGAGATCTACAAGTTTTATATAAAACTGGCAAGCACACGGTGAAGTTTAGCAGGTTCTTAAGGATCCATTCTTGCATGAAAAGGTTTATGAAATTTGATGAACATATTATTTATATCTAATTGAGTATCTCTTCAGTACATGAGATTGAAAAAAAAGTATTATATGAGTGCATTGAGCTTTTTCTTAGATCTTGAATTATTTTAAAAATTAATATTACACTATTAAATCCCAAAAAAGAGGGTACGAAGGTAAATATTTTGCGCTTTTATGTCCTTTGAATTATATAGTTTTGAGAAGAGTAAATTCTCAAGGACCTTTTCAACTGTAAACGAAGAGAACTAGGGAGATAAAATGAAGTCATGGACAAAATGAACATGCAGGAAAATTATATTACTAATGAGAGCACTTTCAAATTCTTTAATTGAGTTGATATTATGGTTATGAAAGAGCTTTCAAGTTGTTGAATAAGTAGATTCTGGTTTAAATAAAATAAAAGAAATTTCAAGTCTATTTTAGCATTTTGTATAGTTTAGGATTTGAAACATGGAAGTAATGTGGGAATAGAAAAGTAGGAATTTCAAAGAGCTTTCGTTAAGAGTAGGTTTCTTAAGAGTGCATCTCCTAGTTTCATGAAACTCTCTATTTTAAGGTAGTTTTACAAGGATTTAACCTGAATAAGGGCACATTTGATGCTCAATCATGGAAGTTTCTGAATTTTCTCATTTTATTAAATGTCATTGAGCTTAATTTTGGTAAGTCGAAAGCCAAATTGGAAGCAATGTTTATGCGAAAAGTGAAGGAAATTTAATGATCACTCGACTAGAGAGCAAGCTTGAATTGGTTAATATCCTACTCAAGGGAAAATTATGTTAAATTTGGAGTATAAATTCCTTAATTATTTTGGAAAATTTTTTGTATTGATTTGGCAAAGTCAAGATTCATTCCTACTTAATTTATCAGTATATTTGGCAACCAACTAATTAGTCATTCATACATGACTTCTCAAGATGATGGTTAAATAATGATGTTGCGTTCACACTTAATCCTTTACACATTTCATGTTATCATCTTTTGATGAAACTATAAAAATAAGAAGAAATCAATGATTTCATGCATAAAAAAATAAAAGAAATAAAACATAGAGGAAAGAGAGGGGAGAGGGGTATCATCCAAGAAAGGAAGGAAAGAATATTTTGATGCAAGCGTAGTTTTTCGACTTCTTCAAGAAGAAATATAACTATCTATAATTCTAAGAAGAGAAGTTCTTGGTCATAGTAAAGAATAATTTTCATTTGAACTCTTGCAAGTTGCAATGGAGACGGGAAGAGAGTAGTTGATGTAATAACTTGTTCTCCTCCACTTCCAGCCCTTTTCTCTGTATCAAATGACTGTATTGTCTCTCAGCTTGATAAAACAATATATTTATCTATATTTTAACTTTGTATGAAGCTTAATGTTTTCCCTTTTTACAGTTTAGTAAATCATTTGATCTTTGAATGATTGTGGATGCTAGCTTATTTAAGCTGAATCAAATAAATTTTGGGTGATTTTCTTTGGGGGCTACTTCTCTATTTTATTGTTACTTATGGCTCTTCATACTTGCCGTGTGCTGAGGCAATCTTTTTTCATGTAAGTTGTATGTTCGTTTAATCTTAAAAAATATGATGAAAGTTAATGGAGCAAAGTTGATGGTGGAGTGCCATAATTTGTTCCAGGAGCTTGAAAAATATGATGAAAGTTAAGTCGGGAGGGCTAGCTGAGTGGACAGACTAGTATCACAACTCATTTTAGGAGCTTAAGAAATATTTGAGCTCTCCGTCAGCTTGATAAACCGAAAGTCATGAGTGTCACTCTTACTATACCCCAAGTCTGGAAATTTGTGGTAGCTCAATCCTTGCTCAAGAAGCAAGCAATAACTGGTTTCTTGCATGAGCAAAGCTTTAACTTCATATAGTTATCTTTGCTAACCATCTTAGTTTTATTCCTTGTTATTTAGTTGAGGCACATCAGGCCCCAACTTCTAGGCACATCATATCCAAGTTGTCATCAATCTCTAAAGCAAGTTCTCTTTTGGCTTGAAAACTCAGGGCGATTCACTAAATAACTTTCATTATCTACTCTGCTATCAAAAAACTTTGTTAACTCCATCACCCTTATGGAAGTTTGATTTAGAAAAAAATTGCTAGACGATGCATGCTGTAAGGGTATTTGGTTGAGAATCGTTGAAGTGATCGTCCTTATCAACCCATCTCATTTGTTCAAACTCAGCTTCAAAATGACCAACAACCAAGCAATATCTGAAGTCTTGTTGATAGGGCTTTGCTTTGCACTCAACATAAGTGAGAAAGTTGTTGGTGTGCAACAATTTCCATTTAATTTTGAACCAATTCATTGGAGATTATAAGGCCTAAGAACAAATCTTATCACAATACCTTCCAAACATAGAGACATGACCATCCATGTTCTAGAAGTCAAACACACACCGCATCCCCCCCCTAACCACACACACACACACACCAAGAAAAACTTAGCTAAGTTAATCTCTTGGCTAATTATGGCGATCCACACACCACCTCTTTCTAAAAGCTCAAAGTTTGACGATCTAAGAAGCAAGAAGTCACACAAGTTAAGCAAATTACTGGTTCTAGTCAATTCAAAACCTTTAGGGATTGGAAGTTGATGTCATCCTCCAACAGAAGCAAGGAGAAATTTATTTTTGGTGGTGTCCTTCTTATCTGAAAATAATATTTTTGAAAATTTCTATCATTCAGCCAGTTAGAAATGCCCTCCATGCCAATATCATGAAGCTCTTGAGGAATCCATAAAATTGAATGTGGAAATTCTTAGGTCGGATTTATGTTACAATGCTACTACATGTTGAGTGTTAGTTATGATGCAGAAGCAGACAAACATAAGTGTAAATGCTGTTCCATTGAAGATATTTAAAAAACCATGCCAGCAATAAACCTTATCATCAAGCCCACGATCTTTGTGGTTTTGGAGATGGACTTCATTAGCTAGCTTTTATAAGCCTTTAGGTGAAGAAAATTCTTGTTAGCGTTGGTCATCTACTTATCTAGTAAATTGAGGCAAAACCGATAACCTCTGTGATTTGTGTAAGTTTTGATAGAACACCAATATTTATTCATTTATGTGAGAAAGTAATGCAGTTTAAAAATAATATATATTATTTGGAATATTTTAAATTTGTTTGGTTCACTATAAAATAAATGTATTATTTTACACTTTCTTATTTGGTTTGAGAAAAAAACGAATTCAATATAAAATATAGAGGTTAATCTTGGCGGCGGACGTTACGGGTTGCCGATAGTGGGCTAAGACAACGACTAACAATTGGCGGTGTGTGGCAATGAAGACAACTGATGAATGACTACGGCTGGCGGTGTTTGTGGCACGAGTGTTCCGCGACGGCGTGCAACACTTTACACAAAATAATATATTTTAAATTAGCCAAAATCCAGTAAATTTCAAATAAATTAAAATTGAACCAGAGAATGAATTTCAATTGCATTGTAATTTTGCAGACCATTTAAAACTTTCTTGATCAAACTCAATGATTTTTATTACCACTGCACATGGATTGCAAAACAATATGAGGCGTGATAAACATTATAAACATATTATGTACTAAAAAAGTATATATACAAGCAATATGAATAATAAAAGTATTTAAAAAAAGATAAATTCTATTATATTTCATAAATAAGGGTTAACTATTGATACAACTAAAAGAAGCATATAAAATTAACTTTGGAAAAACCGTAAATGACAATGAAAAACAACTACTCAAATCCAAAATAAATATAAAAAACTAATACATGAATTAAAAATATAAGGAATAGCCTGATATTAAATAATATGCTCTTACAGCGATAGTCCACCAAACATATCGATAGAACCTGATATTAAAAAATATTAATGAGTGAGTTTTGATTAATCAAACTAAACCAATAATCATTAATTATTAAAACATAAATGATACATTATTGAGCATGCAACATGAATAATAAAAAAGACATAAAAGTCAAAATTGTGATCAATCATTTAATAAATTCAAGTGATTAGAAAGGAGAGTAGAAAGAAGTAGAGATACAAAAGAGAGAGTAGGAAGAGAGTAAGCAGCTGTATGATAACTGTAGTTTTTGGGAGGGATAAAATAATTATTTCCTTTAGATTTTCTACACTTGGTTACAAGATAAATAACAAGGAAGGTCACCATATTAGAAAAGCCACAAAATCCTCACTCTAGAAAAAAAAATATAAATTACTAACTATAACTAATTCTAAAAGTAGAAAATATTAAAAATGGAAAATAATAGAAATAGAAGATTTCAAAAGTAAAATTCCTAAAAGTATGACATCCCCCTCCCCCAACCACCGCTGATCAAATTGGAGTATTGATATTTGTCATTCTCAACTTATAAGGAGCTCAAAAGTAGGTCTGGAAAACTCTTTGGTGAAGATATCTACTATTTGTTACTTTGTCAGAGTGAAAGACATGCAAATAGCTCCATAA